CCTCGGGCCCTTCAAGGTCCACCTCCGGTCCCTCAATGTCCACCTTCGGACCAGAGACATCCAGGTCTCCTGTCGGCAGGTTCACGTCCACCTCCGGGCCTTCTGCTTTAAAGCCAGGCATCCCAAATTTGGGCATTTTGAACTTGGGCATTTTGAGTTTACCCTCTGGGCCATGAATGTCCACATCTGGCACATCAATGTCGACCTTGGGGCCTCCAATATTGATGTCAGGAGCCTTCAAATCCCCTTCCAGCTTTGGAGCAGAAACATCTATGTCTCCTTTCAGCTTGGGACCTTTGAGGTTTAAGCTGGCATCAGGCACTGAAATTTTGGGAGCCTTGATGTGCATCTCTGGCATTTTAAACTTGGGACCTTTCAGTTTTCCTTCCGGCCCTTCAACATCCAGCTCTGGAACATCAATGTCAACCTTTGGTCCTTTGATATTAACATCCGGCACACTCAAGTCCCCTTCCAGTTTTGGCACTGAAAGATCGACATCCACACCTCCTTTTGACTTGGGACCTTTCAAATTCAAATCAAAGTCTGGCATGGAAATATTGGGGGCCTTGATATTCATTTCAGGCATTTTAAATTTGGGGCCTTTCAATTTTCCTTTGGGACCTTCAATGTCAAGGTCAGGAACCTCTACATCCACTTTCGGTCCTTTCACGTGCAAATCTGAGCCCTTCAGATCCACCTCGGGAAGAGAGACATCCACATCTGCCTTTGCTTTGGGGCCTTTGAGGTTCAGGTCGATGTCAGGCATGGAGATCTTGGGTGCCTTGATGTTCATTTCTGGCATCTTAAATTGGGGACCCTTCAGCTTCCCCTCTGGCCCTTCAATTTCCAAACCAGCACCTTCGATATCCAGCTTGGGACCGGACACATCCAGCTCGCCTTTTGGCAGGTTCACCTCCAACTCTGGACCCTCACCCTTAAATCCAGACACACCAAATTTGGGCATTTTGAACTTGGGCATTTTGAGTTTACCCTCCGGCCCATGAATGTCCACGTCGGGTGCCTCGACATTGACTTTGGGGCCTTTGACGTCCACCTCGGGACCTTTCAGTTCTCCTTCCAGCTTCGGGCTGGCAACATCTAACTCTCCTTTTAGTTTATGTCCTTTCAGATTTAGCTCCACATCCGGCATTGAAACTTTAGGGGATGAAATACTCAGGAAAGGCATTTTAAATTTCGACCCTTTTGATTTTGCCTGTAAATCCACATCCGGAGCATGAACCTCAACTTTTGGGCCAGATATTTCAACGTCAGGTTTTTTGAGTTTCACATCCACATCAGGGCTTTGCACTTTAGGACCAGAAAAGCCAAATTTAGGAAGTTTAAACCTGGATTTTTTAGTCTTTCCTTCTAGATCAAGCTTTGGTCCCTCAACATCAAGTTCCGGCCCTTTGATATCAAGCTTAGGGCTTTTCAGCTCACCCTCGATTTTGGGAAGAGCAGGATCAACGTCAGCTTTTAGTTTTGGGCCTTTCAAATGTAAGTCAATATCTGGCATAGAAATTTTAGGAACATTGAATTGCATGTCAGGCTTCTTAAATTTAGGGCCCTTAAGTTTTCCTTCTGGTCCTTCAATGTCCAGATCAGGAACAGCAACATCAACTGTCGGACCAGAAATAGCAACGTTGGCTTCAGGTAGATTTACGTCAACTTCTGGGCCTTCTCCTTTCAACCCAGAAAAGCCAAACTTGGGCATTTTGAACTTGGGCATTTTTATTTTACCTTCCGGACCATGAATGTCCACGTCAGGTGCCTCAATGTCGACTTTGGGGCCCTTGATGTCCAGCTCAGGACCCTCAAGCTTAGGAAGGGAAACATCCACATCCCCCTTCACTTTCGGGCCTTTCAGGTTGAAGTCAACATCAGGCATGGAGATCTTGGGCGCCTTGATGTGCATCTCGGGCATCTTGAACTTGGGGCCCTTCAACTTCCCCTCGGGCCCTTCAATGTCCACCTCCGGTCCCTCAATATCCACCTTCGGACCAGAGACATCCAGGTCTCCTGTTGGCAGGTTCACATCCACCTCCGGGCCTTCTGCTTTCATGCCAGGCATCCCAAATTTGGGCATTTTGAACTTGGGCATTTTTATTCTACCTTCTGGGCCGTGAATGTCCATATCTGGCACATCAATGTCGACTTTGGGGCCC